ACAACTTGAAAAACACAGCCAAAGGCCATTATTGGGCCCGTGCATGTGTTGCTGTATACAGCTTCACCGAAAATTTTTAGAACCAGAAAGCCCTGCAGGACACCATTCGGAGGGCAGAGAGGGGGGCGGAGGGAGGTTCCCAGGTCCATGAGAAGGCCATGCCCACCAGGAGGCTCTGACCTGGTTGACAGGCTAGACACCACCCCAACACTTCCATATATCAAGTTGACATGAAATTATGTAACTACCCTGGGGGTCGTTCTGGAAGCCTGGGGGCGTTTGGGCGCCCCACCTGTTGTACACATCCCTCTGCCTCTGAGCAGGAGAGCAGCCCTGCCCAACCTAGAAAGTCCCTGAAAGAAAGTTTCCAAACGAGGGTCATTAACAAACCTCACCAGCCACTGAAAGGGGTCTTTGAAGGTGGGTGTCCACTTAGGCTTAAGTTCTCCCTCCCTCACCTGTCACTCAGGCCCACGGAAGCTGCCCCCCTCCTTTGCTCTCCACCATCTCCTCCCTCCCTCCTTCAGCCCTGCCTTTAACCCTTTCCCTGCCCCTCACCCCAGCCATCACCCTCATCTCTCTCTCCATTGTTTCTCCCCAGAATCCCCCCTCTGGCCCAAGGAAAACCTGGACCCCGTGGTGGTTCAAGAAGGTGCCCCCTTGACGCTCCAGTGCAACCCGCCCCCCGGACTGCCATCCCCAGTCATCTTCTGGATGAGCAGCTGTGAGTGTCAGGGTCTGACTGAAGTGTGCTGTGTCTGAGTTAATCTTCGGGGCGTTACATGGAGGGGGGGCTGCCCAAGGCAGGAAGAGCCATTCTTGGGAGGTGCAGGTGCCAAGTGGTCCTGTGGACACGGGCTCCTCAGGGCGGCTGCCCGGCCCCTTGCCTAGCCGGCTGCTGTTAGCTGTGGGAGCCTGAGCAAGGGCTCAGCTTCTCCAGGCCTCAGGGTTCTCCTCTGGGGAAAGAAAGGGGAGGCTCGTCATCGGCCTTGTCAAAGGAGATGAGGATGGTGTGTATGGTCGACACGCTCGCCTGCTGTCCAAATGACTGCAAGTTCAAGGCCTCCCGAAGGTTCCTTAGAAGAAAGGCCAGGAGATCTTGCAAAAAAACCCCGCCTCCCAAATCCCTATTGGAACCCAGTTCTACGTTGACCTGCAGGGGGTCGCCCTGAATCAGGATCAACTCAATGGCAACGGGCGAGGTTGGTTTTATGGTTTGGTTGGTTTTGGTGGCCAAGCATGATTGTAAGAAGTGAGCTCATGCATCTAAAGGGTCGGGGCAGGCAGGTCATATCTGTGCTCAGTAATGTTTAGGATGAAGATGGGGGAAGGGTGAGAGAAGGGAAGGAAGAAGAAGAGGAAAGACCAGGCTTTTCCGTAGGCCGGCCCCTCTTTGAAGCCCTCACCTGCCGTCTCATCCACGAGACCACCGGCTCGTGGAGGCAGGAACCGTCTTTGCTGCTCGCCTCTCTGGCCCGAGTACACAGCACCACCGGGCCCAGCACCCAGGAGGCCCTCGGCAAACTTTGGATCAACAATTTGCACAACTGAGCAGTCCGTGTTGGACTCATTGACAGCAGTAACCTTGTCCTTTAAGCATGGCGACTTTAAAATGAACAAGACAGTGAGTAGCCAGCCTGATGTCTGTTTTCACACACCTACAGCCTGGAAGCCTGGTCTTCTGAGATTCTATCAGACGCAGTGCTGGAAAAGCACAGGTGACGTCGCAGCACACGGAGCTGCTTCAATGACGTCATGACTTCCCAGCTGCGCATTCCCAACATCTCTGGGATTGGAACACGTCCTAAAAGGGATGATGTGCGCCAGTGGTTAGGAGGCATCTTGGAATCGCCCATGAAGTTTTTTTTTCTTTTTAATTCCTTTCTTGGAGCTAAAAACAAAACAAAATCCAAAGGTTCATTTTACAAAGGATGCTGTCTGAGATTTTGATGAAATACAGCAAAGCCAAGTTGAGTGGCCTTGAATTCGGCCAACAAATGAGGGTGTACTGGTCTCAGGTCATAACCAGGAAAGCGTCTCAGTCCCTGCCGCCCCCCACCCAGGAGTCACCTGGCCAGCAGAATCAACTCTTGACTCGGGAAGCATTTGAGGAATGGTTCCCTCCTCCTCTGTCCCTGGGGTCAGTCGCATTCTGTGGCGTGAGCAGGGAGTGCAGCCTGGCGTGGGGGACAGGTCCGGGTCATTCTCCTGCACTCCCCCCACCGCCTTTGTACCCCAACCCAACAAAACCCAAACCTGCCATTGCATCAATTCCGACTCCCGGTGACCAAGCCAGCAAGCTTGCGGTGGGCAGCCCCACTCTGGACCACCAGGAGCCCGAAACCCTGTGTTCCTCTCGGGAAAGAGGGGCTACACTTTGTACGGTGCAAACAGCAAGGAGCTCCAATGCCAACGGAGGCATCGGCAGCTTGAGCTGAGCGCCTTGCAAGAAAGGCCTGGCCATCTACTTCAGAAACCCAAGACCACCCAAGAGAGAAGCCAGTGTGTGTGCATACTGGTGAAACGATTTGTAAATGGATGTTGAGAGAGGCGGCACAACTTGAAAAACACAGCCAAAGGCCATTATTGGGCCCGTGCATGTGTTGCTGTATACAGCTTCACCGAAAATTTTTAGAACCAGAAAGCCCTGCAGGACACCATTCGGTCTATGGTGTCACACAGGGCCGATAACATACATCAGCATTGAGAGGCTTGGACAAAACAGTGTCAAGCTCCCGGCCCCCATCTGACCAGGTAAGGCCATCCTGGTAATGATGCTAACACCTGCCCCCACCTCCGGCCTCTGTTCCTTACAGCTATGGAACCCATCACCCAGGACAAACGCGTCTCCCAGGGCTACAACGGAGACCTGTACTTCTCCAACGTGCTGCTGCAGGACATGCAGACGGACTACAGCTGCAATGCCCGCTTCCACTTCACCCACACCATCCAGCAGAAAAACCCCTTCACCCTCAAGGTCCTCACAAGTAAGTGCGAGCCTCCGCCCAGCTGCCGGAACCCCCGCAGCCCAGAGAGTGCGGCTCTGGGTTGGCACTGGCCTTGACGTTCACTAAGGAGCCCTTCCGGCTCTCTGTGCTCAGCCACTCTGGCTGTATTGGACAACGGCCTTGGGTGACATGCTGGGCTTATTCAAGTTGGGTTGACGTTTAATCAGCAGTCCTCAAACTCTGGTGGGGATCAGAATCACCTAGAGAACTTGGCCGTCGCATCAAGGCCCAGCCCTACCCTGCACACCGCCAGCCGGGGCCTCTGTGTGCCTTGCCAGCCTTCGGGTGACTCAGCTACTACACACCGAGTTGGTAGTAGAACCTCTATGTTCGCTCAGTGGTCATCTGGTAACCCATGCATGCCCTCGGCTTGGCCATTTCCCTCATCCCCAAATCATGGCTTGATTATCCTTATTTCCCAAGGAAAGCCAGAGCCTGGGATATCGCAGTTGTCGGGTGCATCAGAATTCCTTTTGATTCTAAATACTTGTGTGCTGACTCCCGATCTCTGTACGTGGCGGAGTTCTGAGTTTTGTGTGCCCTGATTCCTTTGGGCTGGGAAAAGGTATGTTTCTTGACTCATTCTATTGCTGGCTGCCGTCGGGAAGTCCATGACCTGCCCAGGATTTTGCAAGCTGTCTGTGTTGTCTTATACCACGGACTTGGGATGTGGTGGCCGTCAAACGCCCCCAAAGAGGCTTAAATCTGTCTGACTCCTGCCGTGAATGTGGTTTTCAGTCTGTGGACTGTGGGGTTGGGGGGAGACTGAGCAGAGAGTACCATGTGGGTGGGGGCAGTGTACACAGGTCAGGGAAAAGAGGCCAAGTCTGGTTAGTTGAAGATGCTCCTGGGTAGGGTGTGGGAGGGAGAAGCTTGGGGGCACGTGGGACTCCTGACTCCTGGTGTCCTCCTCATTCCTCACCCACTCCTGCTGACCTCTGGAACAGCTGGGGCTGAGCAGCAGCACCCTCACACCCGCTTTCCACCTGGCCTAGGGATGGACCCAGAGGGAGCTGTTCCTCCTGGGCCCCTTCACCTGACTTGTCCTCCGCCTCCTGCCCATTCGCTCTTCACTTCCTTCTTTCTCCTGCAGTTCCTCTCTTCTTCCCTCCCCCTTCCCACTCTCTTCTTCCCTTCTCCAAACTCTTCTATCTGTCTTTGGACCCCATCTCCCGCTTTTTTGATTCCTCCCCTCCGTGTCACCCACACACACTGATCTGAGGACCACACGGCCCTTGAGGACAGGCACCGGGATGAGGAGGGCCCAGGAGTAAGCCCCACGGGGCTGCCAGCAGGCGGGCTTGCTCCCTCTTCCAGGTCTCTTACTCCTCACCGAGGACCAACAAGACCCTGAAGAAAAACACCGGGCAGTCTGAAGTAGTGATTCAGTGCAGGCCAGGGGAAACACCAGCCAGCTGGCCCAGCAGAGAGGACAGTGTGGTCTTCCCTCGACAGCAGAGTGGCCTCAGTAGTCAGGGCATGGCTGTCAGGATTGGGGCAATGAACGGAGCAGCAATGTCAGGGGCACGGTGTTTATTGCGCTGCTCCTGAGCTCCTCAGCATCATCACCTGCATGCTTTTCCCTCCTCCGTGATCCGCAGAGTCAGAAGTCAGCCTACTGCTTCCACCACCCAGACACATGGGCCCTCTGTGCTCCTGAGCATTCGCCCAACACTCACCCAGGGCAAGGAGCAGGAGTCAGTATCACTCAGGGAGCAGGAGTCAGTATCACTTAGGGAGCAGGAGTCAGTATCACTCAGGGAGCAGGAGTTAGTATCACTCAGGGAGCAGGAGTCAGTGTCACTCAGGGAGCAG